TGAGAGGTTGGGAGGCAGGGGGGCTGGGAGGCCAGGAAGCAGGGAGGCTGGGAGGCTGAGAGGCAGGGAGGCTGAGAGGCTGGGAGGCTGGGAGCCTAAGAAGTTGGGAGACATGGAGGCAGGGAGGCAGGGAGGCTGAGAGGCTGGAAGGCAGGGAGGCCGGGAAGGGCAGGAAGCAGGGAGACTGGGAGGCAGGGAGGCCGGGAAGGGCAGGAAGCAGGGAGGCACAGAGGAAGGGATGCTGAGAGGCTGGAAGGCAGGGAGGCCGGGAGGCTCAGAGGCTGGGAGGCAGGGAGGCTTAGAGGTTGTGAGGGAGGGAGGCAGGGAGACCGGGAAGCAGGGAGGCAGGGAGGCTGAGATGCTGGGAGGCCGGGAGCAGGGAGGCCGGGAAGCAGGGAGGCTGGGAGGCCAGGAAGCAGGGAGGCTGGGAGGCAGGGAGGCCGGGAAGGGCAGGAAGCAGGGAGGCACAGAGGAAGGGAGGCTGAGAGGCTGGAAGGCTGGGAGGCTGGGGTGGCCTCGGGAACCCCAGCCGGGTCAGGATGGGCACGGTGGGGGGGGGGGGGGGGGGGACAGCCACCGACACCCTGGGGACACGGGGCACCTCGGTACTGGAGGCCAGCCTCGCCCAGCCGCCGGCCCGGGGGACCTTAAACTGCCTCCTCCGGCCCGTGTGGCCTCGCCCACCAGAATGGGGAGGCCGCCGGACACTCACTGCCTCAGTTTCCCCATTTATAAAATGAAAGCCCATCCCCCCCAGTGCCCAGCGGTGGTCGGGCGGGTCAGAAGACGGAGTCCGTTCGAGTGTGTTGAGGTCCCCGTGGGGAGGCCGCCAGCGCTTGCTGCCTCAGTTTCCCCATCTGTAAAATCCGGATAATGAGAGCCCATCACCCACCCCCACCGCCCAGTGGGGGTCACATGGGAGCCCGTGAGTGTCTTGGTCCCCGTGGGGAGGGACAGGGGCCGACGGCTGCTGCCCCCTCCAGGCGAGGCTGAGCCGGCCTCCAATTCCAGACTCCGCAATGTACAAAAACACGACGTCGCTGGCACGGGGGTCCGGGCCCGGGAGAGGACCAAGGGGTCTCAGTCGGGGACAGGCGTCTGCAGAGAGAGAGGCTCGGGCCTCCCCGCCCCGCTGAGCCCGGCCTCCACTCCGGTCGGGGAGAGATTTTGCCGCTGGGACGCTCGTAGAGTCAGTCAGGAGGTGGAGGCCGGCCTGAGCAAGGGCGAGGCCCCGTCTCTACTGAAAATAGAAAGAAGTTGGCTGGACAACTAGAAATATAGAGACAGACGAGCCGGGCGTGGAGGCACGTGCCTGCCGTCCCAGCGACTCGGGAGGGAGGCCGAGGCGGGAGGCTCGCTGGAGGCCAGGAGTCGGAGGCCGCTGTGAGCGAGGCCGACGCCACAGCGCTCACTCCGGCCTGGACAACAAAGCGAGACTCGGTCTCAAAAAAAAAAAGGAACGAGCTTCCCGGCAGGCGCTGACCTTTGTCCTCGTCCCGTCCCGGTCTCCCGCCAGCACTGGCCGGTGTTCCTGGGGGTTCGCGACCTGCTGACGCTGGTGCCGCCGCTCGTGGGCCTCAAGGGCAACCTGGAGATGACCCTGGCGTCCCGGCTGTCCACCGCGGTAAGTGCCGTCCCCTCCTGTGCACAGCAGCAGCCTCGCCCTTGCAGAGGCTGGCCTCGCGCGGGCCTCCCGCCTCGGCCTCCCTCCCGGGTAGCTGGGACGACAGGCATGCGCCACCACGCCCGGCTCGTTTTTTCTTCTATATATTTCTAGTTGTCCAGCTCATGTCTTTATTCTTTTTTTCTTTTTATAGTAGAGACGGGGTCTCGCTCTTGCTCAGGCTGGCCTCGAATTTCTGACCTCGAGCGAGCCTCGTGCCTCAGCCTCCGTCCCAGAGTGCTGAGATTAGAGGCATGCGCCTCCGTGACCTGGCTAATTTTTTTGTATACATTTTTAATTGTCCAGCTTGTTTGTTTCTATTTTATAGTACCGACGGGGTCTCGCTCTTGCTCAGGCTGGCCTCTAACTCCTGACCTCGAGCGAGCCTCCTGCCTCAGCCTCCCTCCCGAGTAGCTGGGACGACAGGCGTGCGCCACCACGCCCGGCTCGGTTTTTTTTCTATATATTTTTACTTGGCCAATTAATATTTTTCTATTTATTTTGAGTAGAGACGGGGTCTCGCTCTTGCTCAGGCTGGCCTCCAACTCCTGACCTCCAGCGATCCTCCTGCCTCGGCCTCCCTCCCGAGTAGCTGGGACGACAGGCGTGCGCCTCCACGCCCGGCTCATGTTTTCTCTCTATATTTTTAGCTGTCCAGCTCATTTCTTTCTATTTTTAGTAGAGATGGGGTCTCGCTCTTGCTCAGGCTGGCCTCCAACTCCTGACCTCGAGCGATCCTCCCGCCTCAGCCTCCCAGAGTGCTGGGACGACAGGCGTGAGCCTCTGCGCCCGGCCTCAATCACCGTCTTAAGGTGTAAATTGAAATAATAAAAACTCACGAGTTTGAAGTGTGCAGGTGCTGACTTTTGAGGGACTTTGAAGGCTGTGGGTTTGGTGAGAGACTCACAGGACCACCTCTTCCGTGGAAAGTCTGTTGATGAGGCCGCCTCCTGACTCGTTCGGTCTGGTCTGCTTTCTAATCAATTCTGTTGCGGTAATCTCTGCCCTTGTTAATTAATTTTAATATATTCTTTTTATTTTTTATATCTTTCATAATTTTCATTATTTTTGACGACCAGAGTCTCGCTCCTGCTCGCCCGCACAGCAGTGAGTCCGTGCGTCCAGCCTCGCTCTAATCAGCAGCCTCCACGACCTGCAATCCAGCGAGCCTCCTGCCTCGGCCCCTCCTGCAGTACTGACGACAGGCATGCGCCTCCACCGCCCCGCGCTCGTTTCGAATATTATTTAGTCTACCAGCCTCACTTTCCTTCTATTTTCAGTAGACACGGTCTTGCTCTTGCTCAGCCCGCCGGCCTCGACCCTCTGAAATCGAGCGATCCTACCACGCCTTGGCCTCGCCCCAAGTGCTAGGATACCGGTTCGACACCGCGCCCTGTTTTTTTTTTTTTTAATATCTTTTAATTCTTTTAAACAATTTTTCTTTTTTTTAACTCTTTGTCATTCTTTTAATCTTTATTTCATTGTATCCCACCGACGTAAATCTTTGCCCTGCATCATGACCTTAAAAATATTCATTCGCAGGGCCGCCGTGTGGCTCATGCAGCGTGCCAGCTACTGGGAGGCGAGGACGGAGGATCACCAGTCAGAGTTGGAGGCAGCCGAGCAAGAGCCACGACCCCGTCTCTCTATAAATAAAATCAAATCGATGGCCAACTAACATATAATATACCCACGAACAAAACGACCCGGGCGTGAGGCGCATCCTGTCGTCCAGATGCTCGGAGGACCTAGGTGGGAAGGCTCGCTCGAGCCCACAGAGTTGGGGCATGTTCTGATCGAGCTGAACCACGGCATCATCAGTGCAAGGTCTGTTCCAATAAAAAAAGGAGGCTGGTATCCAAAACAAGAAACGAGGCTGCTGTGTCTCCAGCAAAACAAAAAAGAGGCTGGATCCAAAATGAAAAAAAGAGGTCATGGTCTCTAAAAAAAAGAGCTCGTTTCCAAAAAGAAGGGCTGTCCCAAACAAAAAAAGAGCTCGCCCCAAAACAAAAAAAGGAGCTCATTGTCTTCCAAAAAAGCAAGCAAAGCGATCCCTGTTGGGAAGTTGGGATACATTCGCTGCCCCGTGGAGCGCGCGTGCGGCGCGTGTTGTTTGAGGCCGGGCCTCCGGACATGTCCCGTTGTCCCCTTTCATGTCTCCCGAGCAACACGGGACAGATCGACGACCCCGGAGCAGCTCAAGGATCATCCGACAGCAACCGAGCCTCATTAGGTAGCCTCTCCCGGCGCCTCGTGGAGCGGTTGGAAGGGGGAGGCCGCCTCGCAGGGTGGAATGGTGAGGCCGAGACGCGTTCCGGACCTCCATGATGAGGACAGCCTCTCACGTCGCCTCACCCACACCCGCTCCTGGGCCATCGGGTTCCTCCTGCTGTCCCTGCCCTTCTTGACAAGCCGGTGCTCGGGTTTTTGTGTATGTTGTTTTGGGACACGAGCTCTCGCATTTGTTGCCCGCGGCAGGTAGTGCCGTGCAGTCAGCCCCAGCTCACTAGCGCCTCCGCAACACCTGGCCTCAACGGTCCTCCTGCCGTCCAGCCTCCCTTGAGTAAGCTGGGGACGACAGGCAGCGCCCTAGCCACCGCTCGTTTTTTCTATATAGTCGTTTTATTTGCATGGTTAAATTTTTTTCTATTTTTTTTTTTTTTTAATACAGCGGGTCTCGCTGCTGCGTCAGGCTGGCACTCACTCCTGACCCTCGAGCGACGCCCCGCCTCAGCCCTCCCAAATTACGGGATACAGGCATGCGCACCGAACGCCAGCCATTACTTCTGTGTATTCTTTTAGCTGCCAATTAATTAGTCTATTTTTTAGTAGAGACGGTCTCGTCTTGCATCACTGGCTCCAACTCCTGACCTCGGAGTGAGCCTCCCACCCCGCCTCCCACCGAGTACGGACGACAGCAAGCGCCACCGCACGCTGGCTCATTTTCTTTTTTAATATATAGTTTTTAGTTTCCAGCTCATTTTCTATATCATTGTTTAGCAACAGACAAGGTCTCCGTTCTTCGCTCTAGCTGTCCCTTGAACTCCCAAACCTCCGATCGAGCCTCCACTCGGCCTCCTCCCACAATAGCTGGGACTACAGGCGTGCGCCACAGCCGGGCTCTTTTTTATATATTTTACGCCTAGTCCAGCCTCATTCTCTGGTTTTGAGAGACGGGATCTCGCTCCTGCTCAGGCTGGCCTCCAACTCCCTGACCGGCGTATCCCCGCCTCCATCCCAGAGTGTGGGATGACAGCGAGCCCGTGCTCAGCTCTTGCATTTTCTATAGGTTTCTTGTATTATTACGAGCGGCATTTATAAACTTCATATTTATAAACTCCACCTGATCTTCTGGTTGCCTCCTCCTTGCTTTCGAGTCCTTAGCAGCTTTTGCAATACCATATCGACAGGCCAAGGTGCGCTGGGGGCCCTGCGTCCCAGCACTCTGGCCGAGGCGGGAGGATCGC